AAAAATGCATATTATAATCTAATGCAGATAATTTAATCATATCAATATTAATTATTAACGCTAACAATAATAAATATCAGCTATTCTATCTATTATCCCATAATTCATAAGTGGGGCTAGGGAATGCAGAGTCTGTTATGTGCACTGAACACACAACAAATATTTTATTACTTTATATGATTATTTATTAGTAACTTAATATAATTGCATACACGATACTCAACATGCAGTAGATTAAGATGGTACAAAAGATGGCCCGGGTACAAAAGTGGAAGAAAAGTATGATCACAGAAAAAAGGATACCTAAATAAATATTTATTTCAAGTTGAATACATATTTGTGTCAAAATATATGTTGATTGAAAATAACATAGGTAATATTTTTATATGGTTTTTAAAATAAATTTTCAAAAAAAATTACTAAAATATTAACAAGCACTTCCTGAACAAGAGGCTCCATTTATTGCTATCCCTAAATATTTGTAATATAAACCAAATTATTAGGTATAAAAATATGTTAGTAAATATATCCATGAAGATAATGAACATGGTAAGTACCTTATTAAACAATTTAAACCTTTCAAAATATATAAAATATATTTACACTTTTGAAAAGTAATCGAAAAAATTGCAATGGATTTTTTTGATAGGTAATTCATTTAAATAAATAATAATATACTAATATACTTTATATCAAATACAAATCATGAGAAATTTAAATGGGCTTGAAATTGCTCATACAATTATATTTATTAATACCAGATGTTAAATTGTACAACACATTTTGTATGATTACACACAAATAAGTACTACTTGTTTTTTTAATTATTTAGATGGATAACAAAAATGATTTGTTTTGAAATATTCCAACCCTAATCTTATTTTGATGTACTACTTTTATAATTAAAAAAAAAAAAAAACAATCAAAATAATTAAAACCTCATCTGTATTGAAATTATGAATTACTTATATTAATCTTATGCTTGTTTTTTTGTAGATACATTCAGTTAAGATTCTATCTTCTATCTTGTTGATATATTTTAATATTAAATTAGTTAAATAAAGTATAAACTACAATTAATTCAAATTAATTTTAAATAAATTAATTGGAATTATACACCTAGATTGAAATTGCATAAGCTTTAGAGGCCATAATACAAAATGTATATTTGGTTTCAAAATATAAAATAAGTAGGTATACCTATATATTATATTGAGTATTTGAGTGGGTATAAAATAGTACCTACCTAAATAAATTGAACTTTTTTCAGCAAGAGGTAAGAACACACATAGTTTTTTTTTAATATTAATAATATTGTGGTTTTTTAAACTATTTAACAACAATTAATTATAACCTGAACCCTATGACTATTACTATTACTAAAGTTCATACAATTTTTATAAATAACTATATAAAAACGATTTTACTCACCACAGGCAGTCCCAAGTAGAGTTCGGGGTTAGTTAAAGATGACATCAATATTCAACACCACTGAACCACACTAAGCTACTTGAATATTATAGAGGCACTGACTATAATACACACCGGTAGAAAAAATTTGTTTCGGTCGGACATTTGGGTTCGCACGCGACCAGAAAGTAGTTAGACACGCCACAATGAAAATACATGCGAGACCACCTGTGTATGGAATATCGATAACGATGATAATAATAAAAAAAAACAAAAAAAAACTAATAATAACAGAACGTTTTAGTTCTATAACATAAACAATAATAATGTTTTTATTTTTTGTTTACTCGCACGGAATTGTAGTATCTTTTATCTACTTTGATAATGTACGACGGGCCACGATAACACCGTCCAGTACGCGCCATGGATATTTTAGCATGTGGTGTATTATTATGAAATACGCGGGAAAATGCTCTTCGCTAATATTATTGTGAAAAGAATAATTTGCACCAAAAACCCAAGTCACCACACGGTGTTAATGTATTACCATCTAAATATCTAAATATAGGTCCACCACAGGTTATGTTAAACTTTAATTTGTCATCCGTGCATACACGATTCACCGATACACGCACACGGTAAACTGTAAATATATCGCTAATACAAGTTATTACTTATAAGTTATAAACTTATAAACATGAGTTCAGATATTATACATTAGGTAACTCAATGTCTGAATCATATCTCAATAAGTGACACTAACTGCGACAATAACCATGGATAAGTCAAGCCAAAATGTCAGTCATTCGAAAAAGCGTCACTATTAAACGATTCAATCCGTCGTGGAATCACTATCGATTTTTGTATAATTAATAATATGATCCTATTGTTGTACTTAATACATTCTGTTGTGTATATTTTGTATTATTATAGACAGTATAACCCAAACAATCCAAAAAAATTCGTTGAATGAATCATTAATAATTTTCCAGTAGTCGTGATTAGTGTTTTTTGTTTTCTTACCGATAAAAAAATGGTCAGCTATAATACTGCTCTCATATCTCATGATGGGCTAGGGCCTAGAAGGCTATTGAAACGTTTATATTGAGTTTTGGCTAGTTCAGAGATAAATGGTATTTTGAGATCAGAGTGGAGGGTGTGGTTAGAGGCATAGAATGGTGCTTTTAGAATTGTACGAAGAGTTTTGGATTGGAATCTTTGAATGCCGTTTATGTTGGAAATTTTGGCAGCGCCCCATAGTTGAATCCTATAAGTCCAGATGGGTCTGAGTTCCAGTTTGTAAAGCAGGAGCTTATTGGAGAGTTTCATGTGCTAACAGAAGTGGTCGAAGGAGTCGGAAGCGGTCATTAAGTGTACTGGTTTTGCTAATTATGTAAGGTTTCCAGGTGAGACGGCGGTCAATAAGGATACCAAGGTAACGTATACACTGCCCAGGAGGAAGTGGTTAATTATTGAGGTAAAGCGTTGGGCATACTCCGTGACGAAGTTGCATATAATATACATATTTTTGTATTTGTTTTTACAAATCGTTTACATTCAATAAAACGTATCCATAGTAAATAATACATGTACACCCTGAGCCGGGGTTGTTATTTTAGTATTATTCCCACATAGTTTATAGAATATTATATATTACAAGTTAATTATTACTGCGTATGTTGAACACGTTATCTTAAGCTTAACTAACCTTTACCTTAACTAAATACTAACAGTAATACAAAAACAAAATATCAAATTTCGGCATTCACAATAATAACAATAATATACTGAGAATAAATTCGATTGCGGTGTATCATCAGACACCAAATTACCAGTTGGCAATAAGACGTATTAATATTTATTCGAGTCACACTCATTTGAAAATTGAAAGACACCACATGGCACATACAATAATCGATGAAGATACATAAAGACATTATCGTATATTTAGAACAATTCCCATATTTTAATACAGATGAATAATACTTAAAAACTATTAAGGAAAATAATATTCTTGATATAACATTTTGAGTTTCCCAATTTAAACTGAATTTCTTACTATATTATATTAAAATGTGCACTAAAAATTAGTAAAACAACCTAAAAATGGTAAAAAAAAAAAACACAAAATAAAAGTTTCACTTTTGCAGTATCTGTTGCTTGAAATTAATTATGTACTTGTAATGCATTGACCTAGAACACCCAAAAAATAATGCAGCACTTTGCATTGAAATCTGAGCTCTATTATAATGAATATTGAATAATGATTTAATTAATAATGGTGAAGTTATGATCGCACGGCGTCGTGGATATGCAACGAAGTGTACACCACTGATGGTATGCCGCAAGGAATAAGACCAATAAAATATGTAAAATATTGTGTCGGTAGTGGGTCTCGATATAATTCATAATTAAATGTGTTATAGATCGTAGCTGTACGTTGTATAGTGAATATTTTAAATAAATCGAAAGGAGCAAACTGCAGACATTCAAACACAATCAAGAACAGTCAGAGAAAAATGTATAAACTAGTTACACTAGACTACTAGCGAGTACCCTACACCTATTGCTAAATATATTATTTTTGTTTTTATTTCATAATATTATATCGGGTTATATAATACCATCAATTGCTGCAATATATACAGTAACGAATAGATAATAATAAATAAATAATGAATTTAGCCATGCAACAAAACCAATAGAAGTTACAACTAAATAATGGGTGCTCAAAACAAAAATCAACGTGTAAGTCATAAAATATTATTTTCATAATATTTGAAATATTATTTTTTCCCCACAATAATTGTGCAAAATGTATAGATTGTACCTTGCAACTTGTAAGACTTTAGAGTGTGGCTTATTATGTAAAATATAAAATAACATGTTACATAATTATATAACAATAACACAATATAGAAATTCGCTAGACTAACCGGTTTAAAATTATCCCATATTATCCCGCACCGGGATAAAATATAAACTTACAATAATATTAGATTGTTGATTCACCAGCATGTTGTCGATATCAATAAATTATTGATATTTAGTATTTATGAAAACCGTCACGAGCGCTATAGTCGTTACCATATCCACTATCATAGTGTAAGGACATAGGTATTATTATTATTCCTTAACACTATCAGTAATTTCTATAAAATGTTAATTCGTTTTCATCATAGTTTTCATAATAAATGAATATTAAATATTATTATTATTAAGTATTGTAACTATTAATTTTAAAGTTTTGACATGAATAATAAATCATTCATTCAATAAGTACGGTATCATACTATTATACATAGACCTATAAAGTATAAACTAAGTTTATCTTAGTTCATGGTCCATAGTATTATACAATTTTAATTGATCATAGATCTCGACATGATCTAAGGTATTATAATATTTAATTTTTATAATTGTATCTGATTTATTTATTTGGTTATGATAATTGACAATGTGATTACCTATATAATATATTATTAATTATTAATTGAAATTATGTATGTAATTCAAATTTGGCAATATTTATTACTGTAGTAAATATCCAATATACACGTATATGTCCCTAGGTACTATTTAAAGCCAAAATGAATATCTCAACTGAAATTGAACTTGGACTGAAACGGTTGTGTAACCCAGCACTGATAAACGACAAATGTTTCCAAACATTACTACAAAAAGCTGAAAAGATACTGGGAACATTGTTAGATGATACTTCGGAACAGACATTTGACAATGGTAAGAACCGAGTACCTTATAGAACTAATAATCAATTTCGTTAATTAGAACAAACAATTTTTTTAGTTTTTAACTTGTGATAGCATACGTAACATGTAAACTGAATAAGTATAATAGAGTAATTTATTAATTGTACAAAAAAAATAATAAAAACTGCAATAGAATTATTATAACATGTTAACTTATCTACTTTGATCAATGGCGAGTGGCAGTGAAGTTAAGTTTGTTTTAAAGTGTAATGTAACATGTAAACTGAAATATTATATAGTATTACAATCATTAATTTTTTTTTTTGTACAATTAATTAATTACCCTATTATACTTTTTATATGCAAAACACCGTACAAAACAATTAGATGCGCTTGTCGGAAAATAAGTAAAATGGTTGTTATCATATTATAATGATTGTAGTTCTTAAAAGGCCTAAATGCTGTTAATTCGTATGCAATAAGCCTTAAAAACGGCAGGCTGTTTGGAAAAATAATAATTAGTTTGCAAACGGGCTACCCAATTGCAAAGAGCCTAGCTTCTTGGCAAAAATACTATAATACATTTTCCAAATGATCTACGACATATAGGTATATTATATTATCTACACTAATCCAAATTTTTTTCATCACCAAAGTAATGTCTAATACTTAATATTGTATTAAAAATATATTTTCTGTATAATTCTTATGTGGGTAATGTAAACTTGTCTGGAATTCTAAATTTAATATTTTTTTTCTAAAAATTTTCTAAAATTTGTTTTACTTAATTTAGCAAGTGGAATATGAACTGCATCTACCAATGAAGTTTCACGTAGCAATAAATTAAATGAAAAATGATCATTATTATCTGTTCAATTAGGAAATAGTAGGTACTTGGTTATTTTGTTTCACTTTGATTAGTTTTCGTTGAATTCCGCATTTCCGCGAGCATGCTTATCTTGACTAATGTGTTACCTACAAACTTCCAATAATAATAATTCAAATATTTTGGTGGTTGCGATTAGCGTGTTACATATTGGTTTTTAGTACATCATAAGTATATCTACAAGCTTTTTTTAGTTTTTGATAACATTGAAGTAAATAAATAAAATTTTTCATTTTTGCTTTTGTTTTGATTAAATGGTTTTGTATAAATTGGTATCTTTGATACATTTTAGTAAGTTGTAGATGTTTAGAGGTTCATTATTCAGGCATTCAGAGAGGGTATTTGGGATAAGGTATTTAGATCCTTCTTCATTAAATTGATGACATTCTATTAGATGTTTCATGGAAATTTAAGATCCACAATTGGTACATGATTCAGGCTATATTTTTTCTATGAGCTATTTGTGGGCATGCCAGGAATGTCCTATCCTTAAGCCCATCTGTATTACATATTTTTCTCTAGCTGATTCTAGTTGGTTATTTTGTTTATTGTTAGTATCAGTGCTCAAAGTTATTAGGAATTTCAATAATTAGTTGGATTTATTTTCATATCATATACATTTTACATGTATGTAAATCATTTTTTTATGTTTTATTTATTAAATCAACTAAACAATGTTATAAAGTTGTTGAAGACAAATCTCAGAATTATTATTAAAGGATATATTTTACTAATTACACAAATAATATTAATATAAATAAATTCATCAACATTGCTTTTAAATTTAAATCAATAATTTATGATTAATCCCTTTTTCATTTCAGAGTCTACCACATGCATAACGTCTAAACAAGATATTGCTAAAGAAGCATATGCTTCATTGATAACTTTATTTACAATTTCTAATCGACATTGCCTAGACGGAAAGTCATTGAATCAAAACCTACAAACAATAGTTTTGGCTAATACTGATCGTTTACCAGAGATCATTAAAACCTATGAATCTGTTAGACCACGTCTTTTGGAAGTTTCAAAGATTACCACTACATCTTTGGCTAATGTGGTTGATGTTGAATGCCGCCTCGATTACTGTGTACAAGTCAGTATATTACCATGTTTATAATTTTGAAATCACAAAAATAATCAAAACTGTTATAGTTTATTTTAAAATTATTGTCGTGTTACATATCATTAAGCAGCTTATATATGACTATGTAAACAATGTGATGTGCTAATAAACTATAACATTAGTTAACTAATTATTACAATAACAATAAATGTATTTGTTTTTAGTCTAGTGTTTTTGATGACGTATCAGAATTCTTATACAAAGTGCGGCTGAAGACAATAGACAATGGTACAATAAAATTCATTGACTTCGTCTGCAGTACACAGGAACTTCAAGAACTAGTTTTTAAGCTAAAGGATGCAGTTCGGCATTTAGAAAAAATTGCTTCAACCAGTTAAGATTCACAAAATATGTTATCAAATTCAATCAATAGTCTATGAAATTGCTCAATCCTAATTGTTCTTATTGGGTACATAATATATTTTACGATATTTTATTACAGTCTTAATTATTATGTATTTTAGATTTCTATAAGACATTAAATTAAATTAATATTGGGGGGAAAACAATTCACTTTTAACAATGATAAACATAAAAAAAAAGGATAAACAGAATATTTAACAAAATATAAAACTAAACAAAAACCAATTATAAATTGTAAGAATGTATGGATAAATTATTTAGTTAATAACTATTGTAGCATTATTTTTTTGACTGACGGTCGTACACGGCAACTTTATATGCCTCATTGAACTTTTCTAAAGCTATAAATGTTAATACAGTATGAGGTCCAATTCTAGCAAAATATGGCACAATGCCCTTCCACAAATTGAAGAAACCTTCATTCTTCACTACTTTCACCATCGCATTTATTGTGCCAGTATATTCTGGTACTCCATCAATAATTTTCATGCTTTGGATTCTATAAAAACAGAGTTAAACGATTAATGCATATTTTGTAATTTATACCAAAATAGATTAAAATGTAATTGTATTTTATTATATTCATACCTAGTTTTGGCAATATCCACTGGGAGTGAGGCTACAGTTGTAATGGCACCGGAGGTCATTGATGATGCAAAATGCAATACAATGTTATCTTTGAAATAACCTAAAACAATTTCAGTTGAATATTAATAAAAATAATTTTTTTTAAAGCTCAATAATTGGTAAAACCCAGTAATATAATATTACTAATAAGTAATATGTATACCTAAATATTACATTAAACACATGTTTGAAAAATTGTATTAATAAGTGATCATGGGCTGCCTGCTTATTGAGATTTCAAACACAATCTATTAATACATTATGGTTTTACAATATTACATACATTCAGAATAATACATGAATGAATTCAATGTTTAATTACACATTTATTGTTGTGGTACATGAATATAATATAATATACTTTGTTATTTTTTTAATGTATTAAGAACAAATAAAATAATTAATTAATTTTAAGCTATATTACCCATAATTTGTTTGTAATTCAATACTGTTCTTTTCAAATATATATGAATTTTCTTTATTAACATATATATATTTTTGGGCTGGGTACAGATATTTTTATTTTACAACTGATTTTGCAGAACACTTTGTGTATTAACATAAAAACTAATAAAATGTAATAATTACCTAATTCCCCCTAGGTATATAAATATACTTAATACATTACTAATGATTCATACATTTTCTTCAAAGTGGAAAATATTGAGTAACGTGCTATGTTTATAGATCACTTTTTTTTAAAAGATATTGGTAATTGATATCTTTTTTTAAAATCACCTAATCTTAGAATTTATGTAATTTAACTAGAATTATTTTAGATACACTGGAAATAGGTTTAATATTTATTAATTATTTATAATATGAATTTTTCACGCCACTGATAGTTCACAATCAATCATAAATACCTAGTTAATTACTATACAGAATTCCAATGAAAATTAAATTATTTTCAATTTTGACAATACTTTTATAGTTTTATAAGTTAGAAAAACTCAAGTACATAAGATCTTATCATTGTAAATCACTTAAATAATAAATATATTCATTTAAAAATGATCATATAATAATTTAAGTATTTGAATTAAAAGTATGATCAATATTCTAACCTTGATTCTGAACAATATTTCTGAAAATTATTTTAGTTATTAGTGTATTGGTTGAGAAATCATGATAAAAAAAAAAAAAAATAGTCACATGGTTGATTTTAATCATTTAAAAGAATTGTAATAATATATCTCATATTTTTATATTCTACAGATAAGACTTTACTTCAGTAAAATTATTTAATTTTTATTTCCAGAAATTTAAATGTCATTTTAAGAACTCAGCTGTATCGTTTTTATAAGATTTAAAAAAATAAATAATACATCAATCAAATAAAAATAGTAGGTATTTTTTAATTCTATCCAAATTTATAAAATAAAATTGATAGGATATAATTAGTTTTATTTTTAAATTATAAGGAAAATTTTAAAAATAGAACTTAATTAATGATTGCCTGAGAATTATAAAATTAAAATAATAAGCATTCAATTAAAAATAATTATTAATTACTGTTTAATGGTTTTTTTCTGGATATTAAAACAATGGTAATACAGGAAAAAAATGACATGACTAAATGTAATTTGTGAAACCTTCTTACAGTTAGTTTAATTAAGTTTTAATATCAAATATAAAAATGTGAACAAAATTAATAATCTTTAGTATAATTTAAATAAAAATTGCATTAGGAAGCTAATAAGTAATAATATATTAAATATTTAAAAAATAATAAACAATTTGGAAATTGATTTATAAAATAAAATCCATAAAAATTACAAAGTGTCTCATGAATAACTATTTTCTACCAAATTATAATGGTTTAAAGAAGATAATTATTACTGTATTGGAGAGCCAGTTATTATGCATCATACTGCCATAGTTTGTTTTGGTTCACCTTTAATTGTTTGCTGTTAAATAATTAAATAAGTGATTATTTTAGAATTTACATACAACTTATTAATTGTTTGATAAATAATTTGATCCATACATATATAAAAACAATGGACTGGTAGCAGAAAGAGGTCCGAGGACCAACATTTTTAGAAAAAGATAGCATACAACTTAATTTGTATATAGCAATTAATGGCGAAAGAGAGAAAGAAGTTTAATAACAAAGATAAGAATATTTTTAGAAAAAGAGATAGCATACACGTTTAGGTCCCACTTTGTGCACATGTCTATTTACTATATTATGTGTATATTATATTATCTCTTTCTAAACATATTGGCACTTTGCAATCTATAACAGGGCACAATGGGCGTCTATATATTAATATGTCTCATCATATGAATGTCAGTCAATGATAATTCAACTGTTGGTAGATGATTAGTTGACTTATCCAAAATAAATTTTTAAAAGAATATGTAACAAACATACCTATAAATTGAAATAATATATTATTTATTATTACTCCATATTAATTATCCAATACCTACTTGAGGACGGAAATACTTATAGAAACTCAATGCCATTTATTTGTTATTTGCTAGATTTGAAGTATAGATGTTATGCTTTAATAATTATTTTAATAACCATTTTAACTCACCGCTATTAAGGTAAATTTCTTTAGACTGAGAATATGATGCAAGTTGAGCCATATTGACAACAGCTGCCCTTCCCATTGTGGCGATACATCCTCTCCACCATGTAGCAATACCTTCTTCTCTCGCGATCCTGGCTAATGCGTTGAACACACTAGTATAACCACGTCTTTCAGACAATGGTAACTGTCCGTCTGACGTCATTCGTATGAGCGCTACTTCAGCCGGGGTACCGACAGCAGCGCCAGTCACTCCAGATACTAGGGCCAAGCCCAGTTTCACCAACAAGTTGGGCGGTTTGTTGTCTTCCCTATAGGAGTATACAACAGACACGTTGTTCATAACACAATATGAATGCAAGTGTGTTGTGGCAACACTCACCCGGTCATAATTGTGAACAACGAGTTGTACATGCCCAACCGTGTGGTCGAATACGTGGCTTGTCTGAGGATGCCGGCGGACAAACCAGGATAAAAGGCTGTAACGCCCTTCTCTTTGATCATGGAACGAACGATACCGCCCATGGACTTTTGGGCTTCAGTGGCGGTGACGTCGCGTCCGGCCATCTGCATGCGGTTCTTCAGCACGTCCAACGGATGCACTATGACGGTGGCCACGGTCCTGTACAACATAATATAATGTCATGAACTAATAACAACAGTAATGAATAACAATATTGTATTGTAATGAGCTGGTACTTACGCGGATAGTCCACCGTTGAAAAACTTGACCAAAGGAGGCAAAGGCACGGAATCGCTCATGATGTCGCTTGTATGTGTGTGTGCGAGTGTCCACTTGCTCAAAGCGATTTACAAGATCTTTAAAGGTCCTTCTTGAGCATGTCACAGCGGCACTTACCTTCAAAGTCGCTGACAGCGTACGTCCAACGTGACCGTAGAAAACTCGAGGACTGCGTATCCGATATTAATTTTTAAATGATTTATTATAGCGCGCGCCGCCGTTCGTGATATCCCCACCGATTTAAATTGATTCGTAGTCGGCCGTCGGCGTGAATTTTAGCAAGAATTGTTCTGTGATTTTAGCGAGGTGGTCTGGGGGGGGGGGGAGAGAAATTAATAATTAAACAAAAATAAAAACGTTCAACGGTCGTCACGTCTTGCCGCCGAATAATATAATAACATTATCCTACATAGATTACATTATGATATTATTATAAAAAATATAATATCAACCGATCGACAATATTATCATAGAACAATATAGAAGCGACACTCGATCAGCTGATGGGTGAAGTGTTTACCTATGATCTGAAGTCCGAACATTCAAACTGTTTCCGTTTACCAACATGATGTTATACCCGTATTGAAAAACCGTCTCCGATTAATAGGCAGGGTATTCTGCGCGGGTCGGGTTGTTTCCAGCATAGAAAAATTGTTTCCACTGTTTACTGTAACGTATGCCACGCCCCTTTAGAGACCATTTTCAAGGCCACAATCTCCCGATCCGACCAATTCACGGAGTGTCGTACCCCTGATATTATAAATATAGGTACTTATTGAAATGTTATTTATACATTTTTAATTTTATAGATCTAACATCGCCGATACTGTGTGATTATTATTATCTTTATCGTGCCGCTTCAAGGTCACGTTCGTGGGCGTGAGGACCATAGACATATCACCTCGGCCGCCAAAAGCGCTTTATGTTCGCACGGGAACAGCTGACACACGAGTAAAGTCCAGGGTGGTCCTTAAATTTGAAGTTCAAACATTTTTTCATCTCGCCTCCTAAAACGGTGTATATTGAAGTTTGAAATTTTTGTTTTGTGTTAAATCGTAAGTCAAATTAAAATTTAGTATGGATCCTAAATTAAATTAAGCTACATTTGCGATAGTTTTTGTTCTATAATTGTATACCCGGTATACTTACTATAATATAATAGTAACATATTATCTGAATTATGAATTTATAATATGGTGCACTATCACTATGCCCCCCCCCTAACCATGTCTTTGGAGCCGCTGTGCACTATGCCACTATAATACACTGTTGTTAATTTCTGGTTTTACTAACAACTGTTTAATTACCTAATAATAAAGTACATATTTCAAAATTATTATACCTAAAACAAGTTTTATTTATTTTTTATTATAGGTATATTTAAGAGGGAGGTACGGTAAGTTTTAACAGTACCTCGTTGAATGTAACATTACACTGTTTTAAATTAGTAATTACAAAATTAATTTTTTGTCACGCCTCCACCGAAAGTTTGGAAAAAGACAGATTTTAAATAAGTGCATTATTGAAGAAAAAAAGGACTGAGCATGCTTGGTGAATCAGCCTGTATATGCACCTACGACCTATCTATGTATAATATTGTAGGTATTCCTGTAGGGACGTGAAAGCATTCATTAGTAATAATTAAAATACTATCTACCTAGGAGGCATAAGCAATTGTTAGGAAAGTTTATTGTATTAGTATTTAGTCTATGGTATAATCCGTTATAGAATAATCTGACTATTGTATATAGATAATGCATACATCGGATTCTCTCTCTTTTTAGTGAGCACAATATGTAGGTGCAATGAATTGTGATATTAGTTTCAATATAAAAGGCATTAAACGCTAACTAGTTTACGATCATGAGGCACGAAACATTAAGGTGTATAAAGAAAGAACGAGAAAATTCGACAAGGTATCTATTATACCTATATATCTATGTTTTTCCGTTATGTGGAACGGTCGCCGGTAGGTACTGTAGTCTGTAGGTAATAATTTTGTAATATTCAGACTTCAAAATAAGTATTTTATCCTATACATATATATTCCTAAATGGGTACTTACCTATAATATATAAAAAATAAAAATAAATATATATTTATTTTTTTTATTTTTACAAGATATTTACAATCTATTCAGAGAACAATAAGCAAATTAGATAAGAGTAATAATAAACATGAGTAATATGACGGAAGAAGCCACCCAATGATGACACTATACCTATTTTTTAAGAGTTTAGTAGGAGGATTTGATCTAGGATCAAGCATCTAGCAGGTCACGACACCAATTACGTTTGAGACGTCTGACGGGGTTACCCCTAATCGAAGGGACTGCTACATTTTTTATAAGAAGGTTAGGATGATTAAGTAACCTACTGTGAAACCACTTATAGTAGAGTTTTGCTTCATCTTTGACGGAGTTCCTCCTGAGATCTTGCTGAATGGAAAGGTTGGAGACATAAGGTGGAGCATCTAGTAGTTTCCTTAGCGCTAGGTTTTGAAAGGTTTGTATTTTGTTGATGTTTGATATTTTTGCATTACCCCAGAGTTGTATGCCATATGACCAGATGGTCTTAATTACAGATTTGTAAATTAGGAGTTTAGTTTTAATGTTTGTGTATTTGTTTTTATTGCAACAAATGTTTAACAGGCGCAGCAGTAGGTTTAAATGTTGTCTTTTAGATCTAAGGTGGGGAGCCCAGGTAAGTCTGTGATCAAGTGTAAGTCCTAGACAGTGGCGCCCAAAAAATAATATTTTTTCATTAAATTACACATTATTATAGAAAATATAGTATAACAATGATAAATGATAATGTTTTATTTTTAAATTTTGTTATTATGTTAGATACACATATAATATATACATAATAGTTCAATAATACGCGATAAGTTTTGTGACAATCAATATAAGTACCTACTCTATGGTGGCTATCGTCGATTTTTATTTCGTTGAAAATTATTTTTAGATTTATAGATACTATAACGATTACGAACGCAAGGTTTATAGATAATAGATATATATTATAGATAGATAGATGATAGATATATATTATCGATAAGCCTTGTTACGTACGGTCGACTTTGATTGTTAACTACGATAACAATAATAATTATGACTTTCGACTGTCTGTGGCATGAAAATCTCGTTTAGATAATTCAGTCTGTTCGATTTTTTTCTTTGTGATAGCCTGTGTCGAATGTGCGTATGAGTAAAAAAAAAGCTGAGTTAAAATGAGTCAAAAACGAAAGAAACCTGAAGTTGGTACTAGTAGTACTCTTTTTAAGTATGTTAGTATTATTAAGAATCCGAAGTATTAAAAATTCTTTCTGAAAAGGGACCCAGGAAACTTAAATTTTAAATTCATTTGTCATAATATTTAGTTATAAATATAATTATATAAATATTAAATACATAATAATATAACATATTATACAACATATGATAATAATAAACAAAAGTGGTTATTTAAAAATTAGTTTTAATTGTTTACTTGTGTGTAAGGGAAAAAGAAAATTTATTAAGCCCCCTCCCAAGTAAAAATTCTGGGTGCGCACCTGGTCCTAGATATTTGACTGTAGAAGAAGTAGGAATTTGAGTGCCATAATAATAGGTACCTCAGGGCAAGGACCTATAATATATAAATACAAAACGTATCCATCAGTCCATGCGACAAGCTAATCACTTAATTACAATTTATAAACATTTAATTTAGCACCCAATATGATTTTATCCAGTCCCTCCCTTAAAGTTAGAGGCTGAAGAGTTAGGACTCTAAAAACTTTTGCATATTATATACAGCCTATTGTGGAGGGGAGTTGATCGTCTCAATCCCCCACCCCCGTAAATACGCCACAGCAACGGTGTGCACAAAACCACAATGCAATTTAAAAGTACCAACAAAATAATTCACTGATATACTTTTTAGTCTTTTTAATAAGTGATCAACCCGATTTAGTGTTTATCATAATTCAAATATTATCAAAAATAATCAAATTATTTTTAATATTTATATGACTGTATAAGATTAGGTAATTATAAATGTATTATTTCAAAAATTTCAAGTGAAAACGTACCTAATAAGATAAGTTCACATACTTATAATATGAACCAATATCGTATTATAAAGCTGGCAATACACAATTATATTCAATTAAAAATTCGTTATAGCTTATAAGTTATAGATAAATATAGATAACTATTATATCCGTCATTGATCACTCACATGGTTCCATTTTAGTTTAAGTGATATTGTGATAATGATATTTTTCAAGAGCTTTAGAGGTCTCTCAACACTATATAATATATATTACCTATAATATAATATATTGCTACCTATTTTAAATATTAGTACTAAATAGATACCAAAACGGTAACTAAAAAATATTATCACGTTTTGAGAATACAAAACTACAAAATATCAAATACCAACTTTATAGCAAATTATATTCAACTATTCAACTTTTAAACTATTAATTATTATTTATTATCTATATAATAGTTAAAGTACCTACTTTGTAACTGTACTTGTTATAGTTGTTATACATAACTTATAAATAATATAATAATAAGAGAGATCGTGCTCCTTATATATATATAAGATATATGTATAACCTAACCTATAGGTGGAGCTCGGATACTAATATACTATTATGGGGGGGAGGATTAAAAAATAAAATGTAATAAAAAACTTGTAATTGTTAAGTTTAAATTGTCTATTTCTTTCGCTCAGTATTTTTTTATATAGGCAGAGTTGGTGTATTTTTTCATTTTTGAAAAAAAAACAAAAAACCTGTATTTTTTTTTTAAACTGTTTCAAACGATGTTGTAAACAAAATTAATTGTTTGAGTTTTAAACAGTAAATTTAAAATAACTTAATTTTAATTTAATATTACGTAATTTACTTATTAAATGCCAAAATGCCGTGTACTAAAGTACCTATATGTTTCAGTTTCACTGTTTATTTATTACTTATTTTAAATCTTAAAAGTATGTAAGTAGTAAGTAGTAAGTATGTAAGT